TCGTTTTGCTTGATAAGACCCTTATCCTTTGTCTGGAATCGTTTAAAGCCCTTTGAACGGTTTGCAGTTTGTACTGAAAGTGTCTTTTGGACCTTGAACCATTTGGTTCCCACTGAAGTCCATTATATGGAGAAAAATGCTGGAATGTTTTCATCAAAAACCTTAATTTCTTTTCGACTGAAGAAAGAATGACATAGACATCTTGGATGACAAGGGGGTGAGTAAATTATCAGCAAAAGCTTTTTTTCAAAAGTGAACTACTTTAAATGTATCAAATCTGCATCCACTTTTCATGAGCAAATGTGCATTTGTAAAAAACAATAAGGGATAAATTCTTTCACCTATAGAAAATAGTCTTATTTTTCATAATTTTCAAGGGCAGATAAATGAGTCTAGGTCATAACCCATGTAAGGCGTATAGGCAGACAACTTTATCAGAGGCCTATATAAAGTGATATTGATTCGATGATATAGAGTGGAATCAGGCCGCAACATTTAGAAAATAACCAGGCCGATAAATTCTTATTCCTTCAGAGTGAGGAAATCAATTCTGTTTTGGAGACTTCATACACTTTCTGATTGGATCATGATAGCAGTGGTTAAGTTTCACCTCTGCTGTGAAGCGTCAGGCTAAGCGTCCCATAAAAAAAGACGTCCTTGGGCCACCGCAGTCACATGGGTTGTCTAGATATGTTTTATGAAGTGAAGTAGGCTGACAACCCAACTGCCAATGGTGAGTGTATTGAGAAAATTCCCAACCATAAATATTCCTTAACAGCCATAAAACTGTATTTCGCATCATTTTTATTGAAAATATATATTTAAATCACTTTGACACTGGAATTATTGGACTGGGTTTTTTTCACAGAATAATACAAGAAGACTCCTTATCCGTCTCTCAGCGAAACTGCGCCTGTCACAAACGTCAGGACACATTGTGGTTTTGTTCCTGATACTTTTATCTGGGATTCATGTGAGAATTATTCTACATGTGTGTCACGTCATGGAGTTATGAATAATAATAAGAAAATCAGGCATAAACTAAATTTTCCATTGAAGTAGGAAAGATGTGTGTGGGTCTTCAGTTGGATTATGTGCCGCTTAAATCGGTGAGGTCAGACTATTATTATAATTTGATTTAAAATGTTGCAGCTCTGAATTAAGTTACTGGCAAACGGCTTTAATCGGCTTAATAGCCAATACTGAATTTTACTTGCATTTAGCTCTTGGGGTGTTAATTTTGGACCCTACTGACAACAGACGCTTTAGCTCCAATTAAACCAATAAGCCTGATTGATCCCATGTGTTTTAGCGTTTCATTATAACCGTTCGTCATATTTCTGCAGTTCAAACAGTTGTTGTGACGCGTGGCAGCCCAATCTCAACAAGTTAGCTAGCAGCTTTCCTGAGCAGGTGTTTAGCACTCTGTAACCCACATCCCACCTAGGGGACCAATCGCCAGAACACTTCATTACGTTCCCCACACCTCCTCTGTTTGCTCATTTAGACGACCACAAGCGCCAGCAATGACAGGTGGCTCCACTTTGGCATCCTGGTGTTTGGGTGAGATTTGAGGACATTTAGCAGAGTATTAATTAGTTGAGAGGGCGTTTTAAGAAAACCCAGATATCAGTACACCGATGATGACCAAATCTGTCCTCATGGCAGATGCTGAGCGGAAACAAACCTAACATCACATAGCAGAGCTTTTTAATTACAGTGATGTGAATAAGTTTGGACACCCATGCTAAAGTTGCCTAAAAAGAGGAATAAAAAATCATCTTTTGGATATTGATCTTAATGCCTTAATTAGAAAAATGAGGAAAACTCCAACCTTTAAGGACACAAATTTTCTTTTTGAATGAATAATGTATCATAAATAAATAAATGTTTTTCCTTAAAATACAGGGTGCAGAAGTCAGGACACCCCTATGTTAAAGTCCCATAGAGTCAGGCAGATTTTTATTTTTAAAAGCCAGTTATTTCATGGATCCGGGATAATATGCATCCTGATAAAGTTCCCTTGGCCTTTGGAATTAAAATAGACCCACATCATCACACACCTTCCACCACACCTAGAGATTGGCATGGGGTACTTTCCATAAGATCATCTTTCAATGCAAATCAAACCAGCTATTAGGCTAACTGAAGTAAAACCATGCCAATCTCTAGGCATGGTGAATGGTGTGTGATGATGTGGGGATATTTTAATTCCAAAGGCCAAGCGAACTTTATCAGGATGCATATTATCCTGGATCCATGAAATAACTGGCTTTTAAAAATAAAAATCTGCCTGACTCTATGGGATTTTAACATAGGGGTGTCCTGACATATGCACACTGTATTTTAAGGAAAAACATTTATTTATTTAGGATACATTATTCATTCACAAAGAAAATTTGTGTCCTTAAAGGTTGGAGTTTTCCTCATTAAGGCATTAAGATCAATATCCAAAAGATGATTTTTTTATTCCTCTTTTTAGGCAACTTTAGCATGGGAGTCCAAACTTATTCACAACACTGTATGTGATTTTGTTGCAGAACGTTTTAATAATGTGATTAAAAACCAAGCATAGAGTGACCTTTATTTGAACACTTGAGCCCCTCTTAAAAATGTCTGAATGTCATTCTATTAGCTAAAATATGTAGTGTATGCTTATAAGGAGAGCACAAGCACTTTTCAAGCAAAACATCGTGCCCCAGTTTCACAGACAAGTCTTAAGCTTAGTCCCAGGCTAAAATGCATGTTTGAGCTGTTTTAACTGAAAGCAACTTTGCATATCATAAAATATGTCAGTGTTTTGTCTCAAGAAGCACATAAGTAATGTTTTGTAAATATACTGTAAATGTCCTAACTGAACTAAGCCCTAATCCTGCTTATTCTAAGCCCTGTCTGTCGTGAAACCAGGCCTGTAAGTTTGTTTTATTTTTTTTATTTTTTTATTTTTTTCAAATGTCTTGCTTTAAAAAAATTCCTAGGAATATTTTTATTAAATATGATTAAAATCTAACATCTTGATAACACTTTACCTTAATGATTTATTGGTTGATATTAATGGACTGTTAAAACAATCAAACAATGTATAATTTTACATTATAGATACTAACTGGCACATTATTAAAATAAAAAGAATCTGTCTGTTAACATTAGGTGAAGTAACATGAATAAACAATGAACATTTATTGTATTTATTAAATGGTAACAATGTATTTGTTACATGTGACATGTACTTACTGTAATAGTTTTGCATAATTGATTGCACAGAACTAACCCTAAACCAAACGCTTATATCCTAACCCTATAGTAAGTACATCTTGTTAATTAATATTACTCAACATTGTAACAAGGACACCTTAAAATGAAAAGATACTTTTTAATGTTTAATTTGTTTAAAAGTGCAATCTAAAAAGGATTATAAAGTATATTAATTTTATACTTTACATACAAAAATAACAGTGGATCTAGAGTGCTTCTAGTGCAAACATAAAAAAATAACATCAAAGGCAAAATGTATTTTAAAGACACAAGCATAGTTCAAAAGTGGATACATGAGAGAAAAAAAATGCGTGGCAGGCCATCGCAATGTAACATCCGATCAACACGCGCAAAAATGAACCCAACAACAACTTGTAAAACTGTCCATCTCATCTGATGTATGTAGTTGTCCAACGTGTCATTCTGAAGCTCTGTCCAATGGGATAAATACATAGTCAATGTAGTTTACCTGTGGTTAATCTTCTAAGACACCCATGTTTCTGAAGCTTTAACTTGGATGTATTTTATTTTAATTGAAAATTGAAGTAAAAAAAGATACTTTTTAATTGCTGGGTTTTTTTTTTTTTTTAGTCTCTTGTTTCTGTGAACCTTCTTGATGTATTTCCCTGCATTGTTCGTTAAAGGGGGGTCATGAACTGGCTTTTTAAATTGTATTATATTGTTGTTTGAGGTCAACTTATGACGTTCGCTTGGTTTTTACATTCAAAAACATCAAAATGAATAAGTAATAGGCTATTTTCTACCCTAGTTTTGAGCCTAGCTAAAAAACGCTCGGTTTTTATGGGCGTCTCGCACTGAAGAATTGGAAGTAAATGCCCACTGCTGTGAGTGGATAACAATTTTGCATATTATAATGAGTTTCAACTCACCCGTCGATGCCCTTGGGGGAAATTGTTTTGAAAACGTCCAATGTTGTAAAATGGCAGGGACGTTTTCAGTTCTGAAACTCACATATGATGACCTCTTAGATGTCAAAAGCTCAAGGATACCCCTTTAAGTATAGCTGGACTTTATTCACCCAGTCCATTGTTGTGTCATTGTGCTTCAGCAGTGAGGCAGCTCACATTACAAGCTCTCGTTTTACCCTGGCAAATCAGTCCACGCTGTTGCCCAGGTTCATTCTCTAGGGCTGTTTCAGTGCGGATAGCTTGGCAGTTCAAAACATGTCGGGCACCCGTCCCGCCCTGCGGTGGTTTCTTACCGAGCTGACGCAGCACGGCACTGGCTCCATTTCAGACCCTCATTTCTATACAGCTGCTGTGATTTGATGCCATGTCCAATTGCAGTGAAATATTAGCGCCCGAGTATGCAGTGAAGAACAAGATCAACAAGAGGGCGAGAAGTTGGTGAAGTCGCACTGAAGTGGGCCCTTTTTTTTTCTAGGCCAGTAGGCTTTTCAGCTCCAAACTGACGCGTCTAAAATGGCAGTCCTGAATATGTCGTTTGTCACTAAGGAAACAATGCAAATGAGCATTTAACGCACATCTGAACAGATGGCAACTTATTAAAGACAGAGACGCTTTTATCTCATATGAGGCAGTGCACAGGGCAAATGTGTGATGTGAGATGGTTTTTTAGCATCCATCTTGCCTCTCACGTTCGCATTCACATCCCTCCTGCTGCGCCGCTCTACATCTGCACTCACTTTCGTTCTCATTTTCATTTGTCTCATGCAACATCTCTGAACATTTAGCTCATGTTTAATGTCTTTCTTCATTTGGCAGCTGGGACCACGTATATTTTTGGGAGAGGAGGAGCGCTCATCACATACACCTGGGCACCCAATGATCGGCCAAGCACCCGGGCGGACCGTTTGGCCGTGGGCTTCAGCACCCAGCAGAGCGATGCCATCCTGGTGCAGGTGGAGAGCAGCCAGGGCCTCGGAGACTACCTGCAGTTGCACATTGTGAGTATCATAGCTCAGTTTGCAGCTCTAACAGGCTTCTTAATTTGGATATTTCTTGTGTTACAGTCCCCTGCAGGCTTTATATTAACACAAAGGTGCCTCAAAGTGTCTCTGTATTACAGCCTGAAAGGTTTATGATGTCTTTTTTTATTATTTAAGAAAACTGTAGGACTGGTAATTTTATGTTTAGTGTAGTGTAAATAACATAGTGTGGAAAAAAATACATTATTAATTTGATGTTTAGTGTGGTGTAAAAAACAAATACATTATTAATCATAATGTACAATGCTTTACAATAACTATATATTTTTTTAAGCAGGAAATAGTTTAGTGTGATTGATAATAGAAAACAGTGTGATAACAATAATATATATTGTTTTTATGGTAATTATTTTTAATGTACAATATTTTATTATAATTCAGAGCCAGAGACAGATGAGCTCAGCACTCGTCATATATCACGATTCAGTGATTTCAACCACATAATGCTCATTTTAGGTTTCAGACATATAAGTAGACATTTAAATGAAGTACTAGCCCAAAAAATACATTTATAGTATATGAAATACACACTGATGTCTATGGAAGCAGCAATAATAGTCCTTTCATTTGTAATTTGACAGCATGTTTTTTTCCTATCAGTTACACACTAAGTTTACTGTTTTCTCCACTTACTTGTATGTATTTGTGGAAATGATCATATTCTCTGAGTAGCAGTGCAAACTAACCTCAACTAACATGATCTTTATAAAGGTGTTTAAAAAACTCATTAACTTACACATATTTGACAATTGGAATACATCAGATAGCTCATGATTTAGTTAACAAGTTGAGGAATATTTTGAATAACAAATGGAAAAAGATATATGAATGCACTGCCCAGTTCACGTGTCCTGGCTCCGGCTCTGATTCCGACATGTGTGAATGCAACTTCATTCGTTCTGCTGTGATTAAACTCTGGTATGTATTTTGTCTGGAGGCTTTTGTATGAGCAATGCTACTGACGTAGTCCTTGCCATTTCCATTCACTCAGTTTGGGAACTGCTGACAGAGAAACTGATGCAAATTGACTTGGATAAAAATCTTAAGTTGAATAATTTCAGTGAACGCTTCAGGGCTCCAGACATATGAAGCTATACTCATGAATCAAATGATGAATAGAAGCTATGTCCTTACATTCAATTCTCCTTGATAAGATCCAAGCACACCCCTCCCCCAACCAGGCAGATAGGAGAAAATGACCCAAAAAATGATGGAATCATTAATCGTTAAAGAAAACAACATGCCCTTTCTTATTCATTTAGACTTATTATTAAAACAACATAGGGCTGAGATAGTATGACGGTAGATCAAGCTTGTAAATGCCTCGTTGACCTCTTGGCTTATTACTTGCAATTATATTTCAAGGGAGTAAAAAAAAAAGATGCATTTTAATAAGGTTCCTCTGAATGAATAATTAATTCAGCGTGAACTGTCGACTTTCACACTGTGAGCCGCAATGGCAGCCCAGCCATAAACAGTCTGAGAGCAGCTGCTGTGCCAGACACAGACTGGGGCTTGTTTTCAAAAACTTCCTCCTCTCGTCATAGACACAAAGCACAAGAGCCTCCCATTCTGTCGGCTGAAGGATGGATCTGTGGACGATTTTTTATGTCCTTTCTGGTGTTTTTTTCTCTCTGTGTTGGCGTCTATCAGAACGGTGATTCCCAATGTGGGGGAAATGTGTCCTCATACAGAGATTTTTACTACATCTGTAGATCTGAACACTGTTCATTTTTAAGGAAAGAAAACAAAATCATTTTTTATATGAATGATAAAATGAAAAAAATAATTGTGTGTGTGTGTATATATTTATATATATTAGGAGTGTAACGATAAACGTATTCGTATTGAACCGTTCGGTACGAGGCTTTCGGTTTGGTTTTTGGTATGCAGGTTGGACCATTTTTCCTGCCGACCAAAATTTCGTTATTTCAAATGTAGGTGCGTCGCTCATAAGTGTGCTCATAATGTAAGAGACGCTGGCGTGACCACAATATTGCCCAACGTCAAATAGCAACCGATCTTAATCAAGCAGCACTGTTAGTACACAGCGAAAACAGAAAGAAAAAAAAATTATTCTCCACTGAAGTAATAACTTCGCTGTGAGATCTAGTGAGAAAAGTTATTAAAGGATCAAACAGTGATCAAATCAAGGAAATTTCTTTTTGCTGTATCGGAACCGTACCGAACTGAACCGTGACACAAGTGTATCGTATCGAACCGAACTGTGAATTTTGTGAACCGTTACATCCCTAATATATATATATATTATATAGTATATTATATAGTATATATTGCAATGTTATGTAGAATTATGAATTTTCATGAATGACGTTTGTGGTACAATATGTAAGATACTTTTTAACATACCAAGGCATCTACAGTGCTGCTAAATATTATCAAAGATGGCTGAAAAAAATAAATCTGCATTGTTAATCCTTTTGATATTTTATGTATACATAAAAAAGCAAAAAAAACTAACCTTTCATTGAAGTAAAAGAATTGAAAGTGGGGTGAAACTGTATGTATTTTCATGTGCAAAGATGAATTTATACTCTTTAAGAATGTTTAAAAAAATGAAAATAATTAGTAACCACAATTTGTTCATAAAATCCATCTTAATCACTTTTTTTTACCATTATAATTACAAAAATAACCAAAAATGGAATGATTTATTGATTGCGTTGATTAATCTCATGGTTTTCAACCAGTCTTTATGCACAGTAATAATGTAAATGTAATTAGTTTTTCTTAAATTTTCCTTTGACCCCCTTATCGTTTATATTAATTGTTGATTGTTTATGCTGATAAAAGCTATCAGCGTATTTGAGCCTTACAAAATGGTGTTACACAAAAACGTCAGGAACGCTATATCAAAAAGCCTCTGTCCTCTCTAAACTGGTCCAAGTGATGGCATCAACCTTGATTACAGCGCTCCATGATTTGGCTTGTGTCGTAAATAATATTTGGTTGTATATAAAAACGAGTCTGTAAACTTTATGGTAGACATAAACGACGAGTTATGAAGGAGAGGCGTGGCAAATAGCATGCAAGGTTTCACGCTGCTTTCAAGACAACTTAGCTTACGCCTCAAAATTTGTCCTTCGTGTAGCAGGATTTACTTGAGCTTGTAAATTACAACCAAGGACAGATAATCCAATTGGTCGTGAGCATGACGGATGTATGGAATGACTGACTACGGTGGGCGTAGCAGAGCCCGGCGGCCCTTAGGCGGCTGACTTCAGGGTGTTTCCTTCTCTCTTACGACTCATCCCTCTTTCTCTCCTTCTCTCTCTCTCTGATGATGTTGCTTGGGTTTGTAGCATCGTTTATTCACCCACGGAGTCTGAGGTTAGATGATAGCTGAGCAGAAACAGCTCAGGCTGATGAATGAGACAGAGCCAGGGGTTGTTACGGCTTGTAATGAATAGCAGACTCATTTTGTATTCTGGGTGGGTGCATATCGATCTGAACCAAGGTTTTGGCCTCCTCCATTTTGCTGGCATCATGTATTGAGGTGGCCCCAGGGTTCACCTGCCCACCTGTCAGTGGCACAGAGTGATGGATTAATAGGGCATTATGGTCTTGGAGGCCATGTTAACCAAACACCTTGGACCCCTGGAGACAGGGCTTGAAAAGGAGCGTAGGTGCCACCCATTCTGTGACCCATTGGTCGTGACATCAGCATGGCTCGGTATGTGAACTTGGGACCCTGGTGCCCTCTGCCAGCTGGCCCAAGGATCAAAAAGAGAACGCAGAATGGATGGCAAATGCTTGAGTGGCCATTTGCAGTTGTACTTACCGTTGGTTTACACTGGTACATGATTTTAATGCAGAAACGGTGAGTTTCTGCTGAACTCCCTGTGATTCAGCCTTAGGTGAAAGAGCGGTGCAGGGATGACATCAAAACCCGCAAGACTAATTCGCCTCTAGATTCTCCTGTGGGGTTTTATAATGCCTGTGATAGAAATAACTCGACAATTATTTGACGTTTTGTTCAACAAATAAACTGCCCACACTCCCCAAACTGTCTCTTACTTGAACACACACAGCAGAATTAACCATTGCTCATCTCTAATAAAAAAATTCAATGTCTCGCTCAAAAAGAGACTTTAAACGTAATACGTTGTGTTTCATGAATGAATCAGTGTGTTTGAACGAATCACCTGAACAAATGATTTAATGACTCACTCTTTAAGAAAGTTGCTGCATCCAACTATGAACACTTTCAGTATGTGAAAAACTGTGTCCGTAGTATATCCGAATTCACAGTATCCATAAAATAGTACGGTGAAAAGTACCCGAGATCTTTCTAAAATGAACACTAACAAGTGGACACTAACAAGTCTCAGTGCTGTTGAACTGATATGTCAGCACTCTTGAAACAACACTCAGACCGGAACTAGCTGTTGTATAACAGGACAAAAGCTTAGAGATGTTTCAGACAATTCGCATCATTTAAAGCTACAAAAGATCCCTAGCACTGTAAAATGAAGGAACTGGAGCGCCTCCCACTACAATTAGCTGCTCCCACCGTGTGTTTGACTAATAGGCAGATTAAATTGGCCTTTGTCAATCACAGCCCACTGTTAGCCTCCTTCATTAAGCAACTTTAGGAAGCACCCTGTGGCAAAGGCAATCGGGAATCAGGAGAAAACTGTTCTTGTAAGAATATTCACAGAGACCCATTTTGCTGACAAATTCTATATTCTTTTCTTGAGGGGAAATTAGTAATTCAGTTGATATTTTTTAATTTTTTAATAAATCATGCAAATGTTGTATAAATTAAATATAAGTCTATAGTGTATTCAAAGTTCATTTTCTGTCTACTACGCCAACCTAACTAATGCAGGTGATTGTGTCGTGTCAGTGATTCCCAAGAAGGGCTACCAACCATAAAACTGACATGGAGACATTAATAATACATGTATATATTTAAGAAAATGTGTTATTCATAT